ATTTTAGGTAAAAGCTGGCGAAGTGACCTACGATTTCCCGCTTGATACGGAAAAACGAAGAGCTCTGTGGAAAGAAGAAGACAAAAAATATGCCTATGTTTTCATGGTAAGTTCGTTTATTGTTCGTTGATTATTTTACAAAATCCAAAAGTACGGAATTTTGAATTATTTTACATATTATACAAAATTTTGAAAATATTTTTCCTGGCTTTGTTTATTCACTTTTTAATGAATAATTCTGTGGTTATTTATTCGCGATTAAGTAAATTTGCTTCTCATCAAACAAAATATAGCGTAAATTTTGGCCTTTCATTGAAATCCTTTAAATAGTTAGTAACTCTTAATTTGTTTTCTCACTTTAGTTGCATTAATCAATGCTGCATCGTCTGTTAGTATGGACCATCAAAAAAATCCTTTCAGAAAAAGGGTTTTGAATTTGAATTTCCAAATTTGTTCGAGAAATGTGAGGAAACGGAGATGTGGCAGAGAGCGAAAGAAAAGCTTCCGGATGCGAACAACGAGGAGTACATCAACCGTGGCCGTGATGGTATTGGCGAATTCCTTCCCTGAGACGATTTTCATGTTGCTGTTCTTGTTTGGTATGTTTCATCAGTTCTAGAGTCCGAAAGTGTATCTTTCTGGCAGGACTACGTTTATTTTTGGTATTGGAGTGGAATGGCTGACAGAATAGCCTGGTCGGCATTTTCAGCTATGTCCGGAGTAGCCGAAACGATGGCTACGGCTATCAGAGTTGGCTGGGCATAAAGTCCCACACCTGGGAATTCTTTTTCTTTTATTTTCTTGTTTTTCTTAGACCTAGAGTTATATGTGCTAACAAATAGACAACGTCTCCTACCAATATGCGTTTTTGCATTTGTACAAATATGCAAAAAAAAAACCACTCGGAATGGCGGATCATCATGTCACGTCACATCACGTTAGGCTATGCCAAATCATTTCCGCAGGAGTTTTTGCGACCTTCGTACTGACGAGGTTCTGTGTTCAGTTCAGACATGTACGACTTAATGGACCGAAACGTCTTATCTCA